AGCAGTGACGAGAGCAACGGTGGCGGTGTGTGGCGGCAACTGGCCAGCGGCAACAGCGGCGGTGGCGGCGGCTTCAACGTCAGAGGCGGCTGCAGCGGCCCCCGCCCTCTCGGTGGCATGGCCAATCTCCTTGGCGAGGGGGAAGGGGGGGGGGGGGGGGGGGAGGGGAGGGGGGGGGATCTTCAGCGAGGCACCATGGCTGGCGCGACGCTTACTGGCGTGAGGGCATTACGACTGGCGCCTAGGACAGGGCGCAGGCCGCAGCTGTCCGTGCGCTGGCGTGGCGAAGCCGCCACGGCAGCCCGACGGCACGGCGACCCAGCGGCGCGGCGGCATGGCGGCACCGTGGCACGGCGGCATGGCGGGACAGCGACACGGCGGCACTGAGGCACTGAGGCACGGCGATGTGACGGGGCCAGCGCGGAGTGACGGGGCCGGCGCGGAGGGACGGGGCCGGCACGGCGTGACGGGGCCAGCGCGGCGTGACGGGGCCGGCGCGGCGTGACGGGGCCAGCGCGGAGTGACGGGGCCAGCGCGGGGTGACGGGGCCAGCGTGGCGTGACGGGGCCGGCGCGGAGGGACGGGGCTGGTGCGGAGTGACAAGGTCGGCGCGGCGCGACGGGGCTGGCGCGGAGGGACGGGGCTGGTGCGGAGTGACAAGGCCGGCGCGGCGCGACGGGGCCAGCGCGGAGTGACGGGGCCAAGGCGGCATGATGGGGCCAACGCGGCGTGACGGGGGGGGAGTACGCTGTAGAAGCGTGAGGAGAAGGCCTGTGCGAAAGGGTCCTGCTCTGAAACCATGTCAAACTACGCTAGGTAGGAGGGAAGCCATGGAATGGCGTGAGGTTTAGGAAGGAGAAAGTTGACGAGAGAAAAGAGGAGGAGAATAGAAGAGAGAGGGATACAAGGAGGGGTGTTGTACCCTCCACAGTAAGTTTCAGTAGCACCTACCAAGCCTACAATTATATAACATATACAGTGACGGAAATAAATGGGCTTATAAATCCACTGCAGTACATAAACTTTGTGATTCTGGCATTATATATTGTCAAAACCCAGCCACAACAGAATACATACTGTGCCTCTTGACCTGAGTTTCTCAATGCACTTGGGTGTTGTAACTTTTATCGAGTTTATTGTAAAGAGTACAATAATAAGCGCTCGTTACTCGATGCGGACACTTTAGGCCAACATCGAGGCCAGATTTATTTCCTGCATGCATTACGCATCCTCGCAACCAACGCTTCCTTTTTTTGCTCGATAGTACAGCGGCAACTACGCCAAGCCCCTAGCGACGATGCGACCGCTTCTTTCGAGCCAGAAAGATAGGATCGCGACACTGCTTCGACAGGGCCAGAGTCTTCGTCAAATCGCTAAAGCATTAGGAATAGGGAAAAGCACGGTACAGAAATACGCACGCGAACCCTCCCAGCGCACGAGCAGCCTAGCGGTCAGGCCGATTGTTCCTAGGAACGGCCGACCGTGCGTACTCCCGGTTCGTGATAGGTGCTCACTGGTGCGAGCCGTCACTTCTGGCCATGCGAAGAGTAGCATAGAAGCCGCAAGACTTCTAGAATCAGAGCGCGGCATCAAGATATGCCCTAGAACCGTGCGCAACGCCCTGAAGAACTCCGGTTTAGTAGCCGTGCAGAAACCGAAGAAGCTGCGACTATCTGCCCGAAACATCAAAGACCGCCTCGACTTCGCCAAGGCGCACGTTGACTGGACCATTGAAGACTGGAAGCGGGTGATCTGGTCCGACGAGACCAAAATCAACCGCTTGTCCAGTGATGGCCGCAAGTACGCATGGATTCGCGACGGGGCGGCCCTGCAAGGTCATCAGATTCAACAAACCGTCAAGCATGGGGGCGGGTCATTGATGGTATGGGGGTGCATGACTTATGATGGCCCGGGGTATATGTGCAAGATTGACGGCCGCATGGATGGGGAGCTGTACAGGAGTATATTGCATGATGAGCTTGCTCAAACTATCGACTTCTATAGTCTAACCCCCTCGGATGTCATTTTTCAGCATGACAACGACCCCAAGCACAAGAGCCGCCTTGTGCAAGCATGGCTAGCTGAGCAGCCGTATGCGGTCCTCAAGTGGCCCTCCTCCTCCCCTGATCTCAATCCCATAGAGCACCACCTGTGGGCACACCTCAAAAGGGAGCTCGCCAAGTATGAGCACCCCCCTATGGGGATGCTCCAGACTTGGGAGCGGGTGCAAGAGACATGGGATGGGATTGGGGCGGATGTGTGCAGGGGCCTCATCAACAGCATGCCTAGGAGGGTGAAGGCAGTGGTTAGGGCTAAGGGGAGGTGGACTAGGTACTGATTTTGAAATGTTGAACACTTTCTTCAAATCTGGCCAAAAGTGTCCGAATAGGACTTGGTGAATGTGGTTGTTGGTTTGGCATTATAAACATGCCCTTTCAAGCTGCATGACATGTGCTCCTCTTGCTCAGGAGGCACTACACTACTATATTAAATCCCGCTGTTTTTAAAACTCTGTATAATAAATACACACGCTTTTTAACCTCTCAAAGGGTCAACATATGGACAGTTTTTTCCGTCACTGTATATAATTTAACAATTCTATGCACATCCTTATACCCAGATCCTTCTTGGACTCAAATATCATGATTGATGCCCAAGGTGATTTAAAAAGTTGGATGAAACCTTGCGCTCGGATAGTTATAGCAAGAATCAAACAGAGACTCCCCTTGAAATTGCCCACGAGGCACATCATGGTCAGACCTCTCAAGGCAAGATAAATCAACAAGGGTCCAGGTTGCTGGGTTTTACAGAGGGTCAAGAAAACAGTAGCCAGGGATAGTAGGTATAGTAAGATCAAAACCGCATCAGGTGTCTCAGCATCCTGCTGTTCGCGCGGCACAAGATTTGGCAGAACATATGGCGAACGTGGACCCGTGACATTGAGATCTGGCGTATTTCTATGTTTTGGCTGATGCGGCAGCCGCCACGTGCAGCAATTGCTACGTGGATGAGGTGTCATCGTGACATGACAGAAATAACTGCATCGTGCACTACAGATACGCATGCGGATAGGGGAGTGACAGCGGAAAGGTGGGGGGGGGGGGGGGAGGAGGTGCGTATGAGGTGGCGGCGGTAAGGGTGGGAGAGGTGGAGCCGGAGGAAGGAGGAAAGCGTGGTGGCGCAAACACATGCCGCGGGTGTGAGTGGTGAATGCCGTAATAGAGGTGGTGTTGCGGAAACAAATGCTAGCTCATGTTGTGGGAGCAAATCAATTTGCGCAGCGGAGCTCCCTCCTTCAGCTATTGCGCTGCTGAAGGCAATGGTGCCGGATCAGCATCAGTCGCCCAATGCACTGTTGCCCAGTGTGCCACCCCTTGAATCGTGTTTGGGCATCGCGGTGGGTGTTGCCGCCCAACTGTAGCATGGCTGCAGAAACCACCAGAAGCAGCAACGAGGAGGGGGGGAAGGAAGCGGCAGAGCAGTAATTGTGGTGTGGGTGAGTAGCAGCAATGACTCTCCCTCTCTCATCACCCTCACGTTGGAGTACAACCAGACGGCCATTCTTAGACCACACCCCAACAACCTCTCCACTATTGATGTTGCTGCTACTGTTGCGGCCAGGACGACTCAAGAAACAGCTCAAAGGCTGCCAGATTGCATTACAGGTATCACTGCCAGATTGCATTACTGGTATCATGACTGGTATTACTGATGGTACCAGGACTAGCGGCAGCAGCAGCACCACCACTACCACCACCATTACCACTACCAGCCAAGATCATTCGTCCTTGCCTGCCTATGATCCCCCCCCTTATATCCCCTCTCTTTCGTTATGTGGACCACTCCCGGCTGCCATTCCGCCGCTACTTCCTCGTTGCGAATGCCAAGGATAGCCCAGAATTTTACACGTTGATTGTGATGCCGTTCGAGGCGCCGATGGCACTTGAAGAGGGGGGGGATTGGATGGGGAAGTATTCTATGTTGGTTGAGGAGGGAGGGGAGAGGAAGTGGTTAGGGAGGGAGAGGCAGGGTCAGGGAAAGGTGGTTCTGAAAGGAATGTGGGTACGGGTGGGGGGGGAAGAGATGGTGAAGATAATGCTCGTTGATTATGCTTTGTGAGGGTTTCTCTGGTGTCGCACACCCCTCACAAACCAGCGCCATCAACAGCAGCAGAAAAAGCAGCCGCAGCGACAGCAGCTGTAGCATCAGCAGAGTCATTACAGGCATGGCTCAGGCGTCCAGCCAATCTGGGTTCGCCACGCCAGCGGTAGTGGAGGTCGATCGGGGTCGGAGTTTCTGGCGCTGCGGCGTGACTACAAGGGGCTGGAGGTGCCCTGGTTCATGGCGCCCGGGGAAGGGCAGGCAGGGGGTGGGGCGCCGCTGCCGGTGAAAGATACACAGGAAATGGGCAACGGGGATGGGCGAGGGGAAAGGGGGTGGTCAAGGGGTCGGTGCTTTAATGTTGACGGTTGATCCGGCCATTGAGGCTGTGAGGGTGGTGGAGGGGAGGGAGGGCCGTGCTGTAGGGCATGTGGACGAGTCACAGTAGGGGTAGAGAACGGAGAATATGGAAGGGGAAGAGATTGGGGAAAACCGTATTAGAGAGCAGAGGATAGAGGGACGGAGAAAATAGAAGGGATGGACAGATTGTGTAGTATTTCTCTTCTTTTTTCGGCTATGGAGGGGTGTGCAAGGATGTGACAATTGTTTAAGTCTCATGCAGTGAGGCACCTCATTAGCATTCATTTTTACAAAGTTGCTTGTATCTAGTTCTACGCCCCTCCCTAGAACCTATTTACAAGAAACTTGTAACCAGTATTCCCAGTTCTGGGATCTCCCTCGATCTTGGCCCGTTTCCTCCGCCACTGTCCCCTGCCACTCCGGCTTGCTGTGCTGAAAATGCGAAATCGCGCGCACCGCTCTGAACCACTGTGCACCCCTTTCACCCACTAGACTGTAGTATCTGTAGCTGCCCTTCTGTTCTACTCCTAGACTACTGGTCTAGAACCTACTTATCTAAGAGCGCGAGAGCTGAAAGCATTTGGAATAGGAGGCAATGCGACATTCTGCTATTCCGTAACTGGTCTTTCTAGCCAGTAACTGTTCAGTCGGTTCGAGCGCAGCCTGGTAGAATGCGCCGCTGTGACTGAGTAGCCGGCAGCAGGGGCCCTTGTGTTTGCTCCAATCCCGACTTCTGCGCGATTGGTTGTGCTCCAATCGCGTTGCGGGGCTCCAATCCCGACATCGGGCGCTGCAGGCCCTCTTATCGCATTGCGACGAGAGAAGAGGAGCACGCTTGCATTGAGACGGGCAGTGCAACGGCAGTGCGACGAGTAGTGCGACGAGTAGTGCGACAACTTGTCTGACAAGCCTCGCGGACTAGCATCCGCTCGCCCGCTTCCTCGCGGACAAGCCTCGCGGAATAGCGCTTGTCCGCTTCGCGCGCGTCCGCATTCCGACTGTCGCCATGGGCGGTCCCCCAGCCCCGCCAGCCGCTTCCGCCGTTTCCGCCCCCGCGGACGGGCTTGGGCTCGGCGCGGAGATCAACGGGGGCGCGGAGTCAGTCGCGGATCTCCTCGCGCTTCCCCCCGACGCCCTTCCGCGGAGCGACCTTTTCTTCCGCCTCGCTCGCGCGCACTTCCGCGCAGCGGTCTCCGCGTCTGCGGGTTACCCCTTGAATCCCGCGGACCCCGCAAGCTCCCCCGCGGGTGGCGCAAATGACGCGGGGGGAGGCGGGGATCTTAACGACAATAGTAGCGACGAGGCGCTGGCTTTTGACGTCGTCCGGAACGCGATTCAGCCGTCCGAGCGGCCCGACCACGTTCCGTCTCTTATTCTCGCGTCCGTGATTTGCGCCCGGCGTGACACGTGGAGCGAAGAGGGCGTCCGCTACGGCGAACGCGCGGTGGAGCTCGCTGCGAGCAGCGGCCCGCAGCGCGCTAAGGCGCTTCATGCGCTGGGAGTTAATCTCCTCCTACTATCGCGCAACCATTATGTTTCCGCGGCTCGCCGGGAACTGACTCTTAAACGCGCCGTCGAGTCGCTAAGCCAGGCTTTAGAAGAAGATGCCTCCTCAGCAGCCGTGATGGTGGATCTCGCGCTCGCATTGGCCGAGCAGCGCCACGTCAGCGAGGCGCTCAAGGTCGCCAAGAGCGCGCTGAAAGCCGGCGGCGGGCAGTGGCTGCTGACGTGGCAGATCCTGGCGCTGCTGCTGACGTGTCAGCAGCGGTTCAAGGACGCGGAAGATATGTGCCGCGTGGGGGAAGCCGCCATCAAGAAAGCGGGGGGAGGAGCCGGGGGAGGGGGGGCGGATGGGGGGGAGAGAGGGGAGGGCGCAAGGGCGGCGCTGCTGGTGCTGCGCGCCAAGGTGCAGCTAGCGAGTGGGGGGGCAGGGGAAGAGGGAGGGGAAGGGGAGGGGGGAGCAGGGGTGGATGGCAGTGGTGGTGTGACTGTAGGCGTTGGTGACGCTGTGGAGAGCTTGAAACAGGCCATGGCTGCGGTACAGTCACGGCAGAAGCGAGGCGAAGTGGTAAGGAAAAGGGGGAAGCGGTTGAGGGAGAAAATATCATCTATCTAGATTTCCCGCAGTCTCTTGGAATGGAAACATGTGAGATGCCAATTGCTGTATGGCAGCTCAGTGCAGTGCAGCCGTGCGGCTAGCCGAGGCATGTCCAGCTGTTGGGAGGCTCTATTTCTTAGCTGCATACGAGTAAACAAAAACACATTATTTTCCAAATCCTTCCCCCCCATGCAGGGCGGCTCGGTGACAGAAGCAGCCGTGTGGCAGTCTCTTGCCGAGGCGTATCTGGTTGGTGGGCGGGCGGTAGATGCCGACCTCTGTGTGGCAAAGTGTCAGACGCTGGATCCATATGCTGCTGACACGTGGATGGTGGCAGGTGAGGGCGTAGTGGCAGAGGATTTGGGTAATCCTGAAGTGAATCATGGCGGCAGGTGCTGCTATGGTGGCAGGTGAGGGCATGGTGGCAGGAGGTCCATGTAATCCGGAAGTGAATCATGGTGGCAGCGACAGCATGCTTTGTCAAATGTAGGAGATGTGTCTAAAGGGTTCTTGGGCCAATTATTTGTCATCAACATATGCGTGTGCATTTCATGATCACGACTTACTCCACAGCAATGACGTTCCAACCCCCTCTGTGTTCTCTCCCCGTGCTTTCATGGCCCCAAATCCACAGAGCTCCCATTGCTCTTCAAAGTGGAAAGTAGGTCTCGAAGTCCCCTTATAAGCTTGCATTGAATATTCCTTAATATCCCAACAATTTCAAGAAGGCCAAAGGCTGGCCCCAGGAGTTCCCTACCGCTTGAGATGTCCTCCGAAACCCCTGCCTCCCCCGCCTCCCCTGCCTCCCCCGTCTCCCCCGCCTCCCCCGCCTCCCCCACCTCCCCCGCCTCCCCGTCTCCCCCGCCTCCCCCGCCTCCCCCGCCTCCCCCACCTCCCCCGCCTCCCCGGCCTCCCCCGCCTCCCCCGCCTCCCCCGCCTCCCCCGCCTCCCCCGCCTCCTCCAACCCGTTCTTGTTTCACATCCCCCCCTCTCCCTCCCCCCAGGCATGTTAGAAGAGGCGAGAGGCCGCCCCCAGAAGGCCATTGCATGCTACTGCAGAGCCCTGCCATCAGCCAGCCTTAAGCTCCTCTTCCCCTCTCCCTCTGTCACATCCCCTGTGTCTCTTCCCCCCAGGCATGCTAGAAGAGACAAGAGGCCGCCCCCAGAAGGCCCTTGCATGCTACTGCAGAGCCCTACCATTAGCCAGCTTTACAATCATCTTTCCCTCTCCCTCTGTGACACCCCCCATGTCTCTTCCCCCCAGGCATGCTTGAAGAGGCTAAAGGTCAGCCCCAGGAGGCCCTTGCACGCTACTGCAGCGTTCTGACCATGGGCCACCCCTCCCCTGCTCTCCACCTCTCGTTCGCCCCTCTTGCTTCTCCCCCCAGGCATGCTAGAAGAGGCTAAAGGCCGGCCCCAGGAGGCCCTGGCTTGCTACCGCAGTGCTCTGACCATGGGCCACCTCTCTCCTGCCCTCCACCTCTTGTTCGCCCCTGCTGCTTCTCCCCCCAGGCATGCTAGACGGGGCTAAAGGCAGGCCCCAGGAGGCCCTGGCTTGCTACCGCAGCGCCCTGGCCATCGACCAATGGCACGCTGCCAGCAAGGCACGGCTGGGAGCGCTGCTGCTGCAGATGGGGGGGGAGTGGCTGCATATGGCAGAGGTGCACCTGAGGGAGGTGGTATCTGGGGATGGGTTTGACGCGCGTGCCTGGCATGTGCTGGGGCTGGTGGAGCGGGGGAGTGGGGATGTGGGTGCTGCTGCAGAGTGTTTCAGACGAGCTATGGAGGCAGAGGAAACGGCCCCTGCGGTGCCGTTTAATACACTCAGACCGATTCTGCCGCAGCTGCTGCTGTGATTTGGTACGAGCTGAGCTGTCGTGCTGTTGTAATGATGGAGTCTGTTTAGTATGAGTGCATTCGTAACCTATTGCTTTCAGTTGGTTTATCTCCTTGCCATGTGTTGGAAATATCTCACAGGACTTAAGCGTTTCTGAACACTACACTCGAGGAAGATCGCAACGGGTACGCGAGTCAACGGAGGTTACACAAGGGGGTGGACAAAGAACGCGAAGGGACTTGAAGAGTCACAACTGGAGGTTGCGACTGACCGTTACAACATCGCGGATGGTAACCGAAGCGACAATCGAGTCGCTGTGCGACTCGATAACCGCTCCTGCAACTGTATTCTACAACTGCTTTCTTATTTTCTATATATTGCTGTATGTTTGTTTCTTTAATCAATCACTTGTTCTCATATACTAGTACAAGGGTTCAACTGCCTCAACTTCCGCTGCACTACTCAAGTCGCATTCTACAACCGGGACTTAGTCTCTGGAAAGATCCTAAGGGCTTTTCTCAGCCCAACATGGTATGAGAGCTGGTCAGAGACCAAACTCCCAGCAACGACACTCTATCTACAATCTGCAATTCAACGACTTCATTAATTCGAAGCCATGGACAGCAAGGGCAAGAAGACCTCTACGGGCTCACCCAGCAACCAAGACATTCAACCCGGCAACTCTGGATTGCATACTTCAGGGCTGCAAACCGAGACCGGCGCTGCTCAAGAAACAACAGGAAGAGCACCGGAAATGGTGACCCCATCACCCTCTTCAAGCGTGGATCCGAACCTTATGGAAAGGTTCTTCAGCTTCATGTCGCACTTCGACCAGCAGCAGCAGACAAGGACACCTGCGCATTCAACACAGAGCAACGGAGGAAACATGGGATTAGCGCCGATGAGCCTCGACAATTCATCGTTCGGGCGACACAATCAAGCGCCTACCTTTGCGCCTTATCACTCTTCACCGGGGACGTTCGAGTTCATGCCGCCCCGTGCCCAACCAACAGCAGCTGCATCACAACAAACACCAAACGAGATTTTAAGTCTTCAGGCGCAGTTTTCACACGTGATTAAACTGCAGACATCATCACCATTCAACGGACACGATTTCTTTACCTGGAGTTTTGAGTTCGAGCTGTTGATGGAGGCTGCGCATCTCCTGGGATACTTCAATGGGTCCCTGCCATTCCCAAGCAACGGCACTGCAAAGGAGCAAGAAATATTTACTTATCAGTCGCTGCTGGCGTACACAGTTCTCCTGCGGAACCTGTCACCACAAGAACAGCAGAGCATCAGAACATATCGGAGCTATGGAAACTCCGCGGAACTCGCATGGCATCATCTCAAGTGTCTCTATCAAGCAAACGACAGCGTGACACAAAGCAGACTCATGCAACAACTGACAACAATACAGATGAAGACAGGGGAAAAGGTGATACAGTATATGAGTCGCTGCCAGACCCTCCGAGACCGCCTGCTTCGGTGCGGAGGAACAATCACTGAGGAAAGCTTCGTAACGCTTGTCCTCGCCGGGCTCGGACCAGAATGGAGAACCACACGCTCGCTTCTTCGCGCCCACGGAAGAATCTCAGAGATGCACCTCTGCGCCGAGCTTCACGCTGAACAACAGGAGATGGATCTGTTCGAAGAACGACAACCAAGGAAGCAGCAGCAGTTAGTTTTCTACACTCAACGAAGGAACGACAACAACTACAATCGACGCGGCAAGCAAGATCAACGCGACAACAGAGGACTCACCTTCGTGCCGCCGTTCTGCCACAACTGTCAGACTTCTGGACATTCCAAAGTCAACTGCACACGTTCTCGTGTTTATCGTCCAGTAGACCCACACGTCGCCTCCACTCAAGAAAGCCCTCCAAGGCGCTCTTCCACATCTGCACAAGGGACACCGAACATTATTAACTGCATGGTACACATCGACAACTACGCACCCGGATCACCACCCACTTACGCACCAGACGAAGAAGAACTTCCGCTGCCGCCCTCACAAGGACTTCAAGTCAACCCGACATACACTGCGGTCGCCAACGCCGAACCCACCGGGCGAAACACCTGGTTCTTGGACAGCTGCTGCGGTCAACACATGTGTTCTTCCGGATGCTTCGTGCAATGAGAGCGACGCCTCAACCGCGACGTCATCATCACCGTCGCCAACAACGAGAACCTGAAAACAAACAGACAAGGAGTGGTTCAATTACAATCCATGGAGACAAACGTTATACTTCAACTCAACAAGGTCCTCATCGTCGATAACTTGGGATACAACCTACTAAGCGTAAGCCAGCTAATGGCAAAAGGGATTCACCTGGAGTGCGACTCCTACTCCAACGAGTTTCGCCTTTACCACGGGAAGGGCGGTCTCTTCATCGATCGTGCTCTCCTGAAGTCCAGGGTCTTCGTGTTAGACTTCGTCCCCGACCGCGGTACTGCCGACAGCGACGGAATCGTGTCGTTCGCCGCCTGGACACACCCGCCGGATCTTGACCCCGACTTTGACCCGGATGGATTCTGGCACTCCAACACCATACCTGCAGCAGAGAGAACACGAGCGTTAGCAGTCATCAGACAAGAAAGACAAGTACCAGCAAGTGTCCCTTCCCAACCATCACCTGCAGTAGCCGCAGTAGAACAAAGAGTACCACCACTAGTGATCCGAGGACCACCAACCGAAGCGGATCAACTTATGCCCATCACACGAGAAGTCTGCCGAAGTCCCGCCACAGTCGTCGCGTTCTTCTCCAACACCGACATATACCACCGTTCGCCCGGCCATCGTGCTCCTGACGACATCTGGCACCAACGACTCGGGCACCCTGCAAACAGTACAATACTGCAAACCATCCAAGCCGAAGTGTTAGAACGCAACGCTCTCCTAACAACGAGCGGCCAAGAACTTCGACGACCACGCGCACGGTGCTTTACGTGCCCCGAAGCCGATCTTCCTCACCAACCTTTCCCATCTCATCACAACCCAAGCGCACCTGGATACGCACCGATGGAAAAAGTCTACAGCGACATTTTGAACATGCCTCGAGAAGACACTGAAGCCGACTTCAACTATGTCATCACATTTATCGATGCAGCAACAAGATACGTCTGGCACTACAACCTCAAGACACGCGATCAAGCCTTCGACGCCTTCACGACATGGCTACCCATCGCCGAACGAGAATCAAGAACCAAGCTCAAGAGCTTCCAGTCAGACGGTGCACTGGAATACCAGTCACAACGCTTCAGGACCTATCTGGCGGAAAGAGGAATCAGACGCCTGGTGTCTCTGCCCTACGCTCACCAGCAGCAGGGGGTCGCAGAACGCATGAACCGGACCTTGCAGACGACGATGCGAAAGTTGCTCCTGGGGATGAGACTGCCCACCACACTGTGGCCAGACGCAATGACACATGCAGTCCACCTGCACAACCTGCTGTCCTCGTCATCGCTTCCCAACAACGCATCACCGCACCTGCTGTGGACACAAAAAAGGGGCAGCACAAAATTACTTCGGGTTTTCGGCTGCATGGTACAGTACAGACCTCACACAGCCCGAGCAGGACGCTTCACTCAACGAGCTCGATGGGGACTACACCTCGGCATCGCAAAACATTTTTCACGCATGGAAAATCCTCGACATACAAGACAAAAATACAGTGGCATCACGTGATGTTATCTTCTACGAGCGACTGACGCTGCAGCATTACCTGGACAACATTGCCAACACACACGACCCCACCGACGGCCTCGCGGGCCTTCGTTCCTTCGCCGACCGTGCTGCCGAGGCTGACGCAGCAGAAGAAGACGTACCTGGAGCCTCGGAAGCTGCCGGACCACTCCCTTTCTGTTCCGTACCTGTTCCACTCGACGAAGACAATCCTCTCGATAGTAACAACCTCGACACTTTTTACCACTTCGCTGACCAAGGTTACACTACACCCCACCCGGTCGACACAAATGTTTCAGAACGCATCGGCCCCAACTTCTTACCTGATCCAGAAGACGGTGACGAAGCAGCCTATTCCGGGAATGAAAATTCCCCTCGACACACACCCACAGGACTGCAGATCCTCGGCCTCTGGGTCTCCGTCCAGCATCCACCGCCGCCATCTCCGCGCGAGCCCTCGACTCTGTCGCAGGCTCTGGGGGGGGAACATAAGACGAAATGGAAGGAGGCGATGGAAAGGGAACTAAAGGCTCTGCAAGACCGAAATACATGGAAGCTGGTACCTGCAACAAGCATCAACGGGAAGAACGTCCTCTCGGGAAAATGGGTGTACCGCATCAAGACCAACGCGGACGGCTCCATCGAACGATTCAAAGCTCGATGGGTCGTACGAGGCTTCGATCAACGATACGGAACCGACTACACAGAAACTTTTGCCCCAGTCTCCCGTCACACCTCCCTGCGCATCCTACTCGCCGTCGCGGCCACGAAGAAACTACCACTGCGTCAAATCGACGTCGTAAACGCTTTCCTGTACGCACCTGTGGACGCCGAGATCTTCGTCGAGCAGCCCCACGGATTCATCGACGACCCTACGAAAGTATGCCAGCTGATAAAATCCCTCTACGGGATCAAACAAGCTCCGCGGCTGTGGCAGCAGCATCTTCACGGCCGCCTCGTCAGAATCGGCTTCCTACAGCTGCCGCACGACCAAGGCATGTATCGACTTCAGAAGGAAAAAGCCTTTATCCTTCTCATCGTCTACGTCGACGACCTGCTCTACATCGGCCCCTCTACTGACATCGCCATCTGGTTCGAAGGGGAGCTGAGAAGTGACCTGACACTCACAGTGTCAGACACAGTGACCCAATATCTGGGACTGAATGTCGTCGAAGACAACTCGGCATTTTACCTACACGCTGGAAAATACGCAGGCACTGTCGCGAAGAAATTCGGGCTAACGCCGACTACGGTCACGACTCCCCACCGCTACGGGAACAACAGCAACACCTCCGCGAAACTCCCCGCGAAGCAAATCCAGGAGTATCAGCAGAAGCTCGGCTGCCTACTATTCGCAGCAGTAACCTGCCGACCCGACCTATCTTATAGCGCGAGCCAACTGGCGACGCATCTGAAGCAACCGGAACAAGAAGATCTCGAGGAACTTAATCGGGCACTACTCTACTTCATCTCCACGCCGACGACCGGACTTACCTACAATAAAGAAACGACATCGTCCGTACAACTACTCGGATACGTCGACGCCGACCACGCGGGAGACAGGGAAAACCGACGATCGAGAACGGGCTACATCTACCGACTAGAACCTATCGGGACTATCTCATGGCAGTCGAGCAAGCAGGAACTAATCGCACTATCTTCGGCTGAAGCAGAATATATCGCCCTCTGTACTGCGACCAAGGAAGGACTCTACCTACGAGAGTTGCTCGAGGAAGCGAAGATCGCGACCCTGCCCGTCTTCTCACTCCTCTGCGACAACCAATCTGCGATCAAAATCGCGAACAAGGACGGCTTCGCCAACCGAACCAAACACATTGCCCTGCGGTACTTTTTCGTCAAAGATGAAATCGCGAAGGGGAGACTTCAACTCAGTTACTGCCCTACAACAGAAATGGCCGCAGACTACCTGACGAAGAAACTAGCGAAGGCGAAGTTCGATTACTGCATGCTGCTGACCGGGCAGACAAGCGTCACCGGATCTGAACACGTCAGCACTCCAGAAACGAAGGGGAGTGTTGGAAATATCTCAAAGGACTTAAGCGTTTCTGAAGCGTAACACTACACTCGAGGAAGATCGTAACGGGTACGCGAGTCAACGGAGGTTACACAAGGGGGTGGACAAAGAACGCGAAGGGACTTGAAGAGTCGCAACTGGAGGTTGCGACTGACCGTTACAACATCGCGGATGGTAACCGAAGCGACAATCGAGTCGCTGTGCGACTCGATAACCGCTCCTGCAACTGTATTCTACAACTGCTTTCTTATTTTCTATATATTGCTGTATGTTTGTTTCTTTAATCAATCACTTGTTCTCATATACTAGTACAAGGGTTCAACTGCCTTAACTTCCGCTGCACTACTCAAGTCTCATTCTACAACCGGGACTTAGTCTCTGGAAAGATCCTAAGGGCTTTTCTTAGCCCAACACCATCTAGAGACATCATTGGTCATGTATGTCAAACATGTGTATTTGTCATGTTTGTATAGACTGTATAGAGTCACCTCTTAGAGGATACAAAACTTAGATATATTTGTGTGTACTCTCACTTTACCATTATTCAATTATTCTGATATGGTATCACGCGTAGGTAGGATCCCCCCCCCCACCTACCGCTTCCGCTCATGCCCCCTAGCGCCCCTCCTGGGCCCCGTCGCGCTCCTCCCAGGCCCAGTCGCGCTCCTCCCAGGCCCCCTAGCGCCCCTCCTGGGCCCCATCGCGCTCCTCCCAGGCCCCGTAGCGCCCCTCCTGGGCTTCGTAGCGCCCCTGCCAGGCCCCGTCGCGCCCCTCCCAGGCCCCGTCGCGCCCCTCCCAGGCCCCGTCGCGCTCCTCCCAGGCCCCGTAGCGCCCCGTCGCGCCCCTCCTGGGCCCCGTAGCGCCCCTCCTGGGCCTCGTCGCGCCCCCTCCTGGGCTTCGTAGCACCCCTCCTGGGCCCTGTAACGCCCTCCCAGGCCCCGTCGCGCCCCTCCCAGGCCCTGTCGCGCTCCTCCCAGGCCCCCTAGCGCCCCTCCTGGGCCGCGTCGCGCTCCTCCCAGGCCTCGTAGCGCCCCTCCTGGGCTCTTTCGCGCCCCTCCTGGGCTCCGTAGCGCCCCTCCTGGGCCCCGTCGCGCCCCTCCTGGGCCCCGTAGCGCCCCTCCTGGGCCCCGTCGCGCCCTCCTTGGGCCCTGTAGCGCCCCTCCTGGGCCCCGTCGCGCCCCTCCCAGGCCCCGTCGCGCCCCTCCCAGGCCCCGTAGCGCCCCTCCTGGGCCTCGTCGCGCCCCTCCTGGGCTTCGTAGCGCCTCTCCTGGGCCCCCCCGTCGTGCCCCTCCAGGGCCCCGTAGCGCCCCTCCTCGGCCGCGTCGTACCCGTCGCCGCCGCCCGGCCCCGTCGTGCCCGCCCGGCGCCGTCGCGCCCGCCCGACCCCGTCGCCGCCGCCCGGCCCCGTCGCGCCCGCCCGGCGCCGTCGCCGCCGCCCGGCCCCGTCGCGCCCGCCCGGCGCCGTCGCACCCTGCCCGGCCCGTCGCGCTCGCCCGGCCCCGTCGCAGCCGCCCGGCCCCGTCGCACCCGCCCGGCCCCGTCGCACCCTGCCCGGCCCCGTCACAGCCGCCCGGCCCCGTCGCACCAGCCCGGCCGCCGTCCCGCTCGCCCGGCCCCGTCGCACCGGCCCGGCCCTGCCGCACTCGCCCGGCCCCGTCGCCCCAGCCCGGCCCTGTCGCGCCCGCTCGGCCCCGTCGCCCCGTCCCGGCCCTGTCGCATCAGCCCGGCCCCGTCGCGCCCGCCCGGCCCCGTCGGGCCAGCCCCGGCCCCGTCCTCCTCACTGGTACGGTTCCCCCCCCCCCCCCCCCCCCCCCCCCCACCCCGCCCTGCTCCGTGCCGCCCTGCACCGCACTGCACCGCACTGCACCGCACTGTACCGCACTGCACCGCACTGCACCGCACTGTACCGCACTGCACCGCACTGCACCGCACTGCACCGCACTGCACCGCACTGTATCGCACTGCACCGCACCCCACCTAGCTGCACCGCCCTGCACAGCACTGGACTGTTCCTGATGGCGGCGGAGCTTCGCTTCGACGCTGAAGGTCAGCCCCTAGAGTTCGAGGCGTGGCTTGCCGACCTCCGCCGCCAACTCACTGGCCAGCGGCAGGATGGTGAACCGCTTTCCGCACACCTTGACGGTACGCTCCCCTGCCCAGACCCTCCTGCTATTCTGCCCGCTGACCCCACACCCACTGAGCGTGAGTCTACTGCTGCCACTGCCCGTGCGCGCTCTGTCTGGCTTTCTCGCGATGCTGTCGCCCAGCTTGCCATTAGAAACGCCCTCCCCCCGTCCGAGCGTCCTCGCCTTAGGTCCCTCACTACTGCTCAGGCATACTTAGATGCTGTCATCAAGCGCTATTCCACCCCTCCGGCTGTCTCGGTGGGTCGCCTGATCCTCCCGCTGCTCTTTCCTGACCTTGCTTCGTTCCCCACTGTCTCTGACCTCGCTGCCCACCTGCGCTCGATAGAGGAGACCTGGCGCGCCGCATGCACTGACGCACAGCTTAGAGCCCACCAGCCGCCCATTACCTCTACCCTCTACCTGCTTGCCACCCGCCTCCCTGACCGCCTTGCTGTCGCCCGCGACCGCTTCCTTAGTGTTCACCCCGCAGACCTCACCCTCACTGACTTTGTCGACACCCTGACTGTGATAGAGACCCGTCACCGCTCCATCGCCCAGGCGAGCGGTGTCGTGCCGGTCCCTATCTTTCAGGGTTGTGCCCCCGCTCAGTGTACCTTCTCCGACGGCTCTGCCGCAGTGGCTGAGACTGCTGCTGCAGCGCAGGCCCGTTCTGGGAAGGGCCGCCGCCCCAAGGCTGGGCGCGGCGGAGGGGGCGGCGGGGGTGCGGGCGGGGGTAGTGGTGGGGTCGGGTCGCCTGGTGCTGGAGCGGACGAGGGGACCCTGCCCAGTCCAGCTGAGTCGCCGCCCCTGCAGTTGCAGCAGCCGCAGCAGCCGCCGCAGTCGCAGCCTTCGCAGCAGCCGCAGCAGCCGTCGCAGACGCGGCAGACGAGTGTTCTCCCGCCAGGGTGGCCCGGCGCTGGCGGTGGACGGGCGCGTGGTGGTGTGCCGCGTGGTGGCTCTGCCGGCGGGCGTTGTCAGTACCAGATCCAGACCGGTCCTCGCCGCGGTTTCGTTTGCGGTAAGATCGGTCACTCCACTCCCCGCTGCTTTCGTCGCCTGGACGACCTCTTTCGTCAGCGTTTCGGCCCGTCGCCAGACCTCCCGGACTGGCACAGTTTGCTTAGTCGTCAGATTCAGATCTTTGATATGGACATGGATGCCATTGTTTCTGCTCTGCATGTGATGTATGCTGATGACTCTAGTGTGCTTCCGACTTATTACTCACTGTTGCCTAGTGTAGGTGTGCCTAGCTTAGCCTCCCCTGCTGCGTCAGGCGTAGGATCCCCTGCTTTGTGTAGTCTTGGTGCTTCTGCCGTCGTTCCGTCGCCAGACCCCTCGGCTTCGCTTTCCTTCACCTTGGACTCTGGCGCCTCTCGGTGTTTCTTCCGCGACTCCACCACCCTGACGCCGCTTCCTGTTCCTGCTGCCGTTTCTCTTGCTGACCCCTCCGGCGGCCCGGTAGTCGCCCGCAGTTCCACCACCCTTCCCTGTCCGGCGGTTCCTTCGGGCTCTCTTACAGGTCTGCATATCCCCTCGTTCTCCAGGAACCTAGTTGGTGTCGGCTGCCTCCAGGACCTTGGCGTCACCACTACGTTCCCTGGTCACGAGCGGTATGCTGTCTGTACCGAGGCCGCCACTGGTGCCCCCCTGTCCACGTTCCCCCGGGACCCGGTGTTCGGCCTGTTCACTCTGGACACCGTGCCCCCCCCGGCTGGAGCGCCCCCTCAGGTGGCTGTGTCTACCCAGGTTGCTGCTGCCTTCTCCTGTCGCTCCCTCACTCACCCGACCCTCCTGTGGCACCACCGCCTAGGTCACCCTGCGCTCCCGCGTCTGCGTCACATGTCCCAGCACGGTCTTGTCCTTGGTCTCCCAGGTTCACTCCCCGCGTTTCCCTCCTCCCCGGCTCCACCTTGCACGCCTTGTGTCGAGGGTCGGCTTCGCCGTGCCCCTCACTCCTCCTCGTTCCCCCCTACCGCCGCGCCGCTGCAGACCCTGCACCTGGACGTCTGGGGCCCCGCCCCCGTCCCTGGGCCGCGTCGCGAGCGCTACTTCCTTGTGCTTGTCGACGACTTCACTCGTTACACCACAGTCTTTCCCCTGGAGCGCAAGGCCGACGTGCCTGGCGCCCTCATCCCCTGGCTTGTCTCTGCGCGTGTCCACCGCGGTCTCCCTGTCTTGCGTCTTCACTCAGACCGTGGTGGCGAGTTTGCCTCAGGTGTCCTTGGTCGCTTTTGTCGTGCGGAGGGCATCACCCAGACGTTCACCCTACCGGACTCCCCACAGCAGAATGGGGTCGCTGAGCGACGCATCGGCTTGGTCATGGAGGTCGCTCGCACCTCCATGGTCCATGCCGGTGCACCCCATTTTCTGTGGCCGTTCGCTGTGCGCTACGCTTCTCACCAGCTTAACCTGTGGCCGCACCCTCAGCAGCCGCAGGTTTCGCCGACCCGTCTGTGGACTGGGTCTCCTGGTGACGCGTCTGCATTCCACGTCTGGGGCTGCCTTGCTCACGTCCGTGCCTCCGGCACGGACAAGCTCACTGCCCGCACCCTTCCCTGCGTCTTCCTCGGTTTTCCCCTTGACGCGTCCGACTGGCACTTTTACCACCCACCGTCTCACCGCTTCTTTCACTCTCGTGACGTCACCTTTGACGAGTCCGTCTCCTACTACCGCCGCTTCCCCCACCGTGGTCCCCCGGTTACCCCCCCCCTGTTCCTGGTCACCCCTTCCCCGGTAGTCCCTGCCCCTCCTCCTCCTCCTCCCCGTCCCGCCCCCTCTGGTGTCTCCCATGTCACCCGCCTTCCGTCCGTGGACCCGGTTGAGGAGTCTTCTGACTCTGGTGGCCCTCCGGTGCAGTCCTCGCCGGCCGCCCCTCCCCAGGTGTCCCCTCCCCAGTCCCCTCCTCCGCCGTCCCTGCCGCCACTGCAGCCGTCGCCGTCGCCGCCGCCGCCGCCGTCGCAGCCCCCGTTCGCTGACTCTGGGGGTGCTCGTCCCGGTCGAACTGAGGGTGGTCCCTCTGGGGGTGCGGGTGTGGAGAGTGTCGGTGGTAGCCGAGGAGCAGCTTGCGGTCCAGGTGTCGCCGTTGTGCCGCCGCAGCAGCAGTCCCTTCGCCTGCTCGGCCTTCCGTCCCCCGACCCTGCGTCGGTTCCTCCCCGACCGTCTCCTCCTCTTCCTGTCTACGGCCCTGTTTTCCCTCCGCCGGACTCGTCCCCGGCCCGTCTCCCCCCTCGTTCCCCTCCTGTGTCCCCTCCCCTGTCTCCTGACCCGACTCCTCCATCGCACGTCTGGTCTCACCGTCCCTCCCGTGCTCGTCCTGCCTCGCCTGTCCTGCGCTCCCACCCTATGTTGCTTCGTTCACACGCGTCTCGTCCTCCCCTTCTGCCGTCACCTCCTCCGTCCTCCCTTGTTGTTGCGCCCCCCCCGCTGTCCGACTACCTTCGTGCCGCTCGTCCTCTCGTTCCTCGGGTCCTTGCCTCTCTCGTTACCGACCCGTCTGTTCCAGTCTCGTGCCTTGACGCTCTTGTCGCTGCTGTCGCTGACTTCGCCTCTACCCGCCGCCTTGACTACGCCACCGCTCTGGTCTCTGACCCTGCCTGTCCTCCGTCTGTCGGGGGTGCTCCTGCCCTTGGCAGTGACGTCCTGGAGGACCGCCAGTTCGAGCTTGCTTTCCTCTCCGAGGCTGCTCCCCATCTCTGTTCCATGCTGCTAGTCCCTGAGGGTGACCCAGACGCTTTCGACATCCCGACCCCTCACACTTACGCTGAGGCGACTTCGGGACCCTGGGCCTCGCAGTGGATAGCTGCCATGGAGCAGGAGATGGCATCTTGGAGATCCACCGGCACCTTCGTCGACGCAGTTCCCCCACCTGGGGTGAACGTAGTCGATGGCCGCTGGCTCTTCAAGGTGAAGCGCCCTCCTGGAGAGCCGCCTGTCTTCAAGGCGCGCTATGTGGCTAGAGGCTTCAGTCAGCGCGAGGGGGTGGACTTCTTCCAGACTTTCGCTCCGACCCCGAAGATGACTACTCTTCGGGTTCTGTTACACCTAGCTGCTCAGCGTGACTACGAGCTTCACTCCCTCGACTTCTCCACTGCCTTCCTTCAGGGCAGCCTACACGAGCAGGTCTACCTGCTCCGCCCTCCGGGCTTTACTGGCACCTTCCCTCCTGGGACCCAGTGGCTCCTGCGGCGCCCCGTCTACGGCCTGCCCCAGGCTCCCTGTGAGTGGCACGACACTCTGCGTGCTACGCTTGCTGACCTGCAGTTCTTTCCGTCTTCTGCAGACCCTTCACTCTTCGTTCGTGCTGGCCAGACTCCGTTCTACATCCTCGTTTACGTCGACGACCTGGTCTTTGCCACAGCAGACAGGGACGCGCTGGCCTCCGTGAAGGCAGAGCTGCTGAAGAGACACACCTGCACTGACCTTGGAGAACTGCGCCGTTACCTTGGCTTGCAGATCTCCAGGGACAGAGCTGCGCGCACCATCACCTTGACTCAGTCACACTTGGTGCGCCAGGTCCTTCAGAGGTTCAGTCTTCAGTTCTCCTCTGCACAGCCCACCCCTCTGCCTGTAGACCACAGGCTCTCCGCTCCAGTGCCTGAGGAGTTGGTAGAGCCCAGCGGCCCCTACGCAGAGCTGGTGGGTTGCCTCATGTACCTGATGACTTGCACTCGCCCAGATCTCGCATACCCTCTCAGCATCCTGGCTCGCTTTGTGGCCACAGGCAGACACCGACCGCAGCACTGGTCTGCCGCTAAGAGGGTTCTGCGTTATCTTGCTAGTACATCGGGCATGGGGTTAGTGCTAGGAGGACGCAGGCCAGCGGTCCTTACTGGGCACACAGACGCTTCGTGGGCAGACGACGCTAAGACACTCCGGTCTACCCAGGGCTACTGCTTCAGCCTTGGCTCAGGTGCCGTCTCGTGGAGAGCTACTCGCTCCTCGTCTGTTGCACAGTCCAGCTGTGAGGCTGAGATCTACGCCGGTGCCATGGCGGCACAGGAGCTCCGCTGGCTGACCTTCTTGCTCACTGACTTAGGTGAGCGGCCTAGCTCTGCCCCGGTCCTGTTCGCTGACAACAGGGCCATGATCCTCCTGTGTCAGGAGCCTCGACTCGAGGGCAGAGCGAAGCACATTCAGCTGCGGTACTTCCTCCTGCGTGAGCTACAGCAGCGACGTCAGGCTCGCGTAGTACACTTGGCCTCAGGTGCCAACACGGCTGATATCTTTACGAAGGCGCTTGCGCCTAAAGATCATCAGCGGCACTGTGTACAGCTTGGTCTAGTTCCTGTAGCCTCTCACTTGCTAGGACCTTGACTTTGTACTGTCCTTTATATATATACTCAGACTGGACTTGTGTCCTCTCCCAGTGGCTGGACTAGTAGTGCCGCCCTGCTCTTGTGCTTGCCTTGTCTGTACTCCTTCTGACCGGTCGCTCAGACCCTTGTCTCAGAGGTTGGACTAGTAGTGCCGCCCTGAGCTGCTTGTTTAGGGTATTCCCCTATGCAGTCTAGGGGGTGTGTCAAACATGTGTATTTGTCATGTTTGTATAGACAGTATAGAGTCACCTCTTAGAGGATACAAAACTTAGATATATTTGTGTGTACTCTCACTTTACCATTATTCAATTATTCTGATAATGTAAGCTTATGTACCTACATTTCAAAGACTCTGGGATATTTGAATCAAATGTTTTGAGCCTTGCCTATGACGCCCATAATGTAGAGCACTGATACAAATTATGCGTGCACATTTGTGGAGAAAGTAAGAGAAGTATGCAAAATCATGGTGCATAGAACCTACTCTTATGTATACTGGGTAAATGAACTGAGCACTTCCGCATGCACAGATTCCCCTAATGAGGCTTCCCATACACCAGGAGGATGATTTGGATCCAGGCTGTCGCAGCCGCGGCTGAACTACGCCCAATCAGGTAACGCCAGAATCGCGCTATCATGGGAGTGACATCCAAGGATGCGATGGCCACGTCAGCCCCGATTTTGCCAGATTTTTATTATTATTATTATTTTTCCTGTCATCCAGAGGCTGAGCTAGTTTTTCTGGTGCTTATGCAGATTAGCTTTCTTTCATGATTTTCTGATTTGAAGTAAAATTCAGATGCTTTTGTAAAAGTCTCCCGTGTGGCACCCCTGGAAATCCTCCATGCCTTAAGTTTCTTGGCGGGACTCCACTGGCACAGCAGGGCGGTGAGTCGGGGACAGGAAATATGTCCAAGTTTTAGTCTGTCCAAGGGAATCTACAATGTCCCGGTCACCCGGACAGACAGTGGCTCAAAGCTGTAATTTCCCCAGCTGACCAATCAGCTGCTGGTGGTGCCAGCAAAGCCGGCTGCGCGGCGCGCGGAAGTCGTGGTTGGAGGCCTGCTGGAAACACGCGCAGTGTGGCGAGCGGGCATATCCAGTTCCACCAATAAGACGAAGGCACGTAAGAATCACTATGCAAACTGTACATCCATGCACCCACGCCACGAGCCACCGCCCTTTTGTCGTCCACCTGGCTCCTGCTGTCACTCTCAGGAGAAGATGTTTCGTTCGTTGTGATGAATGGCGAGCACAACCCACGATGGAGCAGAAGAAATCCATATTTCAGGATGGACGAGAACCTAGAACGCCATTTTCAGAGAGCGGATGCGAGAAACCTGCTGTTTCGCCTTTCAAACAACCGCGTGCTGCATCTTACGGTCCCCAACCCCCTAGTTAGAATCAGCTATCAACTTCACTTGCTACCTACCAGCTGCTCCATACTTGAACACGGCCCGCTCTGCTCGAACGAGTTAGCAGTTACTAGTACTGCTGCCCAGGAAGTCACCACGCGGCATCGCACGCTGTCACGTGCAATTCACACTTCCAGCCATGGCTTACCAAACGACTTGCTGCAGCAGACTAGCTGTATCTGCCGAGGCTGCTGGCGTCATTCTCCCGCTCGCCACGTCAGCACGCTCTCTGAACCTCCGCCGCTCGCTTCTTTCCCCAGACTTTCCCTGCGCCGTCGCTCCGCGCATAGCCGCCTCCGCCCCCGCTCGGCGCGCTTCAGCTTCCCCACGCGCGTCTCAGTCTTCCGCCGACGCCGCCACCCATCCCTCCGCCACTGATTCTGCGGAATCCTCGGAAGCAGCCGCGCGGGAGGCTGCCGCGCTAGAGGCCGCTGCCGCGCGCGTTATCACCCTCTCGAGCCGCGGAGAATTCGAGCGGCTTATGGCGGAAGCGAAGGACAAGGGGCAATTAGCAGTAGTGGAGACAACTATGTCTACCCTCCCAAACACCCAACGGATTTACGACACACTCGTGGAAACCGCGCGGATGTTTCCGAACGCGGTTTTTCTGCGCATTCTCGCGGACAAGGGCGCGGAGCTGCGCGTGCTGGCGGAGAGCATGCGGTGTGCGCGCGTGCCGTCGTACGTGCTGTTCCGCGAGGGGCAGCGCGTGCACGAGGACGCGGGGATGGATGCGGAGCGGCTGCGCGCCGAGCTGCTATATTATTCCGCGGAGGGGCCCGTGCTCGAGGTGCACTCCGCGGAAGAATATCGCGCGCTTATCGAGGTAAGGGGAGGGGTTATTAAGGTACGGCGAGGGGTTATCGAGGTAAAAGGGGGGTTTCGGCTAAGGGGAGGGGTTATTGAGGTAAGGGGAGAGTGGGTTTGCTATGCATGCGGAGCGGCTGCGCGCCGAGCTGTTGTACTACTCCCCGGAAGAATTTCGCGCGCTTATTGAGGTAAGGGAGGAATGTGGGGGTTGGCGGAGAGGATGAACAAGGGGGGAAAGGGGGGAAAGGGCGAAGGAGTGGGGTGTCACTATTGACGCGGAGGGGCTGCGCGGCCTCGGAGTTTTGCATTGCCCAGGGGCCCGTGATGGAGGTGCGGTTCACGGAGGAGCTCCGCGCGCTCATTGAGGTACGGGGTAATGGGGGGGATCCGCGCGCTCATAGAGGTACGAGGGTATGGGGGGGATCTCCGCGCTCATTGTGGATAGGGGGAATGGGGGGTAATGGGGAGGAATGGGGGGAAACGGAATCCCGCGTCGTCATACGCCAGTGGTCCCCTCTTCTCCTCCCACTTCACCAGGTCTGTTTTGAAACGCCTGAGAACCTGCACCTAACAATTCTAAACGCTATCAAACACCGGTTCTGAGGCGTTTGATAGCTCTGCATCAGGTCATTGCTTTGAGGCGGCGCCTAAGGTCATGCACCAAACCCCAAGCACCAGGCCCAAAGCCGGTGGTGATGCATGACCCTCGCCTTGACAGTGAGCTGCTGGTAGTGATCGAGGCAACCCTCGCCTTCTGTAGCCCGTGCGTGCGCGTTCAGCCCTAAATGATTAACCCCTTTCGTCTCCCCTTTCCGCTCCCTCAGCTCCCTGCAAACACGTGGTGACTCCGACACGCTGGTGGTGATCGAGGCAGCCCTCACCGTATTCAGTCCGTGCATGCGCATCCACCCCACCACGCTCAGCCTATTTCCCTTGCTTTCCGTCCCTATGTCTCCCTGCAGTCACATGCCAACAGCGACATGCTAGTCGTGATCGAGGCAACGCTCGTCTTCTGTTCTGTGGCCTGTGTGTGCGCATCCACCTCTACCTCTCCCACCTCTTCCCCCTACAACCCCGCAGACTCACAAGGACAGTGGCATGCCGATGGTGATCCAAGCCACGCCCGCCTTCTGCTTCCCATGCATGCGCATCAACCAGACCGTGCTCAACCTCTCCCCACCTCTTCCCCCCCTTCAACCCTGCAGACTCACAAGGACAGCGACGTGCTGGTGGTGATAGAGGCAACGCTCGCCTTGTGCGGTCCGTGTGTGCGCATCCACCCCACCGTGCTCAACCTCTCCCACCGCATGGCCGCCCACGCCGTCTTTGCGCTGTGCACTTCTTTGGTGACTCGGCGGACTGCACCAAGCACAAAACCCCATATTCACCACCTTCTCCCTCTGGCCGTCTCCCTTTCTGTCTGCCCTTCCCTCTCCCTCCTCCCTCCTCCCTCCTCCCTCCTCATTCCAGACTCACGCCAACACCGACATGCTGGTGGTGATCGAGGCAACGCTCGCCTTCTGCGGTCCGTGTGTGCGCATCCACCAGACCGTGCTCAACCTCTCCCACCGCATGGCCGGCCACGCCGTCTTCGCCCGCTTCTTTGGAGACTCAGCGGACTGCACTCGGGAGCTGATTAGAGACCTAGGGGTGCTGGAGGCACCCACGTTTCTGTTCTACAGGAGAGGGGAGCTGCTGGGGCGGTATGTGGGGTCGGGCAGGGGGGAACTGGTGGGGGAGATTCTCAAGCACCAAGGGGTGGCTGTCAGCTGAGGATTTGGGTTTTCTAGTATTGCTAGAACGGTTGAAATGGGTGCTGGGGTTGGGAGAGGGGAGCTGCTGGGCCAGTCTCTGATCACGGGAGGGGGGGAAACTGGCGAGCGAGATAAGCAAGCACCAAGGGATGGCTGTGAGCTCATGAATTGGATTTCATCATAGTCTTGCTACAAGGGGTGGCTATGAGCTGATGGCCCGGGATTCGTTGTCTTTCTAAAGGGTTCATTATTTGGGAAGCTGAGGGTAGGAGAGGGGAATTGTGGGTGTCAGACAGGGCCCAAAATTGGTTTTGGGCCTCCCTTTGAAATCAGGGTCGCCCCACAAAAATACCCTGTTGACCAGGGAACCAAACGTTTCAGGGTAGAATTTTTGCAGCCCTGTTTACACAGGGCATTTTTATAACCACCCTGTTGGTCCATTGACAACAATAGGAAAAGTGTTCATGAAACATTATAAGTTGTCTATCTGGGATCTTTCATTTTGAAGTTAGAATGCGCAGGAGCCTCGAATGTGCTACTAGCTTGTAATTGACAAACTGAAAGAATGACTAGAATGTGAGAGTACAAGGCTGTTGGAAATACCTAGAAGACTTCAGCATTTCTGTAGTGTCACACTACACTCGAGGTAAGTCGTATCGGGTACGCGAGTCAACGGAGGTTACACGAGGAGGTTGGACGAAAGAATACGAAAGGGCGAAGGGACTCGAAGGGTCGCAACCGGATGTTGCGATTGACCGTTGCGACTGCAAGGGTGGTAACCGAACAGACAATCGAGTCGTTGTGCGTGTAAGGAATTTTCCATTCCTTACTGAGCGGTACTGCTATTGCGTACGCTCGAACACACCCGAAGCCTCGGGACCGTTCCAGACCTTTCTGACAGAACCGCCTCGGCTTCTCCAGACCTGCTAGCTTGACCTTCGGGAGTTCTCTAGGCCTCGCTTCGTCACTTCGAGACTCTTCGATCTCTTTCCCGAACCTTACCATCGCATGGTTAGACTAGCTCTGGTGTTCCTATATCTTGGCTTGCCATCCCTTATATCGTCATTCAGTGAGTGAACATTTCGTTATTCATTTCCGCGCTACTCTGCTTGTTCCTTCATAACACCTGGTAATCAGAGCCACTTTCCTCGCTCACCCGTTTTCGAGAGTTGATTTTTTTTGGGGGGGGGGTAAGTCCCTCACGTAAGCTGCAAAGCGGTTGCTCGCGAATTAGACTGATTAATTCGCCCAACTACGATAGCGTTTGCGCTTACCTGAGTACAGGCACATTAGGGATTTCCCCCTGCCCCAACGGAGCATTCGCCAAATGGACCAAGCTCAATTCAACGAGCTTCGGGAGCAGTTCAACGCCATGAGCACGCGCATGGCTACAGTACTGGAGGACAACGAGCGACTTCGTGCAGAAGTTGCCGAGTTACGCCAGGCGCGAGAGGATTCGCGTCAGAAAATTACCGCCCAAGAGGAGGTCGCCAGCACCGGACGTGTCGAAACCGTCTTGGACGAAATCGCACGTGAGGTGTCACAGGAGCGCAAGGACAGTGAAGCCGCCGCAGCAGCTGACGTGGCAGCACGAGCAGCAGCCGAAGCAGCAGCAGCAGCAGCAGCGACAGCAGCAGCCGCTCGGTCAGAAGAAGCCGCTACTGTAGCCGCCCTGGCGTTTATGCCGATCGTGAAGACAGCGACGATCAAACCGACAATGCCGCCCCCGTTCAACCCCACAGATAAAAATACTACTGCTACGGGCTGGTTATTTTCTGCGGAACTTTATTTTATCGCCGCTGGGATCACTGCTGACGAGTTAAAAATTCGACTGGCTGTATCACTACTGCGGGGACCTGCGCTAGATTGGTGGCGATATACCTTACAGGAGGGGGAGTTTTCGACAGGCGACACACAGGGGCTTCTCGGAAACTTTGGAAGGCGACCGCGATTTTTGGATCGTCCAAGATTCGCACGTGGAAGGCGTGGGGTACAGCTCTGCGTGAACGGTTCGAGCCAATATCCGCCTCGGACAACGCGCGCACGAAGCTGGACAACTGGCGCCAGTGGAGTTCTGTCAAGGATTACGCGTCGGTCTTCATGGCGTTATGCGATCAAATCACCGACATGCATGACTCCGAGAAGAAAGCTCGATTCATTTCGGGTTTGAAGCAGGACATTAAATGCGAGGTCCGACTGCGACTTCCGGCGACATTTCACGAGGAAGTCCGGATCGCAGACACTTTCGACGCACATCGGACGCATGCGAGAGCGGGTTCCCGGGAGGGAAACTGTCTTCGTGGCCAGAATCCACGGCCCACGATTCACGGCGTAGTGGCGAAGGAGCACATGGAAGATTTTCGCAAGGGACAATGTTTCAACTACCACCAGCCGGGTCACCAATCTCACGATTGCCCCCGAAAGAAGTAGATAAAGAAGGACGACGACCGCAGGTCGGGAAACGCCAAGCGTCAGTAGCGGTCGGGCCCCCTACTGACCCTGCCTCATCGCCCGAAAAACACCATCCCCACCGGGTAGTGGTTCCGATTCATGCTATCAACCGCTCCCGGCTGAATAAGGGGGATGACCCAGTGGACCACCCCGTACTGGCGGAGGGACGACTCAACGGAAGAAAAATAAAAATATTCATCGACGGCGGTGCGAGTCACAGCCTGATAAATCGAGAGACAGCACGACGACTACACCTAACGTTGGAGAGGTGTCTGTTTGAAATCGACGCACGATTGGTGGACGGCACCCCGCTGGCGATACGCGACAAAGTACCCGTCGTTCGAATGAAGTGTGGCGAAGATTTTGGTTTCAGCGCGCCGATGCTGGCGACAACGCTCGACGGCTACGACGTGCTATTGGGACGCGATTGGTTGCGACAATTCAACCCGCAGATCGATTGGACCACAGGCGAGTGAACAGTGAAGTGCGACAAAGGCTGGCGAAAATTACCCACGTGGCCGGAAGCAGAGACAATGTCGACACAAGTCAACGCGGTGTGCCTCAAGCGAGCGGTCAAGAATGGAGCGGATTTATACGCCGTCCATCTAACCGAATTGACGGCGCAGAACGAGGCGACCGACATCAACAAACTCTGCGCTTCGGTCCCGGATGACTTGGCGAAAATCATTCGGGAATATCCCGAGATTTTCCCGGACGACTTGCCAAGTGGACTGCCACCCGAATGACCCCAGGACCACAAAATCGAGCTAGAGCCCGGCGCGCAGCCTACTGTACGCACGCAATGGCGCCTGACTCAGCCGTAGCTACAGGAACTACGCAACCAACTGGACTACCTGCTGGCGAAAGGGTTCATTCGGCCGAGCACGTCACCTTTCGCAGCACCGATCCTGTTCAGGACAGCGGACTTCGCATGTGTATTGATTATCGAGCCCTTAATCGGGTAATGATCAAATCGCGCTACCCAATCCCACGCACGGACGAACTGATCGACAACCTTCGCGGAGCTCGCTACTTTTCGAAAACCGACCTTCGCGGCGGCTACCATCAAATTCGGGAGTTCGCTGATGACTGCCACAAGACCACGTTTCGTACTCGCTACGGGAGTCACGAATATATGGTGATGCCATTTGGATTAACGAACGCCCCCTCGATGTTCCAACTCACCATGAACGGGGTGTTCCACGATCTATTCGACAAATGCATGATAATTTACCTGGACGACATCCTGATCGACAGCAAGACCCGGGAGCAACATTTAAAGGATTTGGACGTGGTTTTTCAGCGGTTGCAGCAGCATCGTCTCATCACCAAGGGCTCCAAGTGCGAGTTTTTAAATCAAGAACTGGAGTTCCTGGGGCACGTGATCTCCACGGAGGGAATTCGGATAGACCCGAAAAAACTCAGGGCTATTCAGGAATGGAAACCACCAACAAATCTGCAGCAGCTGCAATCTTTTTTGGGTTTCGTGAATTACGTGCGGCGGTTTATACCCAACTTGGCGGGGTTAACTGGGCCTCTAACCGATCTACTGCAGAAGGGGACTTGTTACGAGTGGGGGGAGAAGCAGCAAGCTGCGTTCGAGGCATTAAAAAATCTTTTAATGTCGCCACCGGTCCTTCGCATCGCTGACCCGGAACGGCCCTTCGAAGTCATCACTGACGCAAGTGACATCGCCATCGGAGCAGTGCTCATGCAAGATTTCGGCAATGGGCTTCAACCAATTGCGTACGAGTCTCGGAAAATGCAATCTGCTGAGCGCAACTACCCAGTACACGACAAGGAGATGTTGGCGATCGTCCACGCGTTCAAAATCTGGAGGTGCTACCTGACTGGAGCAGACGTGACGGTGCGAACCGATCACAAATCACTACAGTACCTGATAGCACTGCCAAATCTCAACCCGCGGCAGATACGCTGGCTGGACTATCTGGAGTCCAACTTCACGTACAAGATCACGTACAAAAAAGGCGCCAACAATATTACCGACGCCCTTTCCAGACCATCTGCCCAACTCGCAGCAGTACTAGTCGCCCAGAGCAACCCGCTACTGAGTGGACTATTTACCCACGGGTATTCGACTGACCCCTTCTTCGTAAATGACGCCCATCTCTCAATCACTACACGGAAAGGCGTCTATTACTTACGAAGCGGAACAGATCGAATTTGGGTCCCAAGTTATCGTCTACTTCGCGAATTACTAATTCAAGAAGTCCACGATTCGAATTTATCGGGACATTTCGGGGTTGGTAAAACTCTGAAGGCGTTGCAGCGGTTATATTACTGGCCAGATATGGTGACGGACGTGCAGCGTTACGTGGCCACGTGTCCGATCTGCCAGCGAATGAAGTCATCACACCAGCGACCTACAGGACTGTTGCAGCCCCTCGAACCACCTCAACGCCCATGGCAACACATAACGATGGATTTCGTTACGGGACTACCGGCAGGACCCAGCGGAAACGACGCAGTTTTGGTTGTCGTCGACCGATTGACGAAAATGGCGCATTTCACACCATGTCGTACAACCATCACAGCCAAAGAAACCGCGCGCCTCTTCATCTCGACCGTTGTTCGTCTACACGGGATACCAGCAGCAATCATTAGCGATCGAGACCCGAAATTTACATCGAAATTCTGGCAGGACACGTGGGCTCGGTACGGCACACGTCTGCAGTTTTCATCCGCGTATCATCCCCAAACGGACGGCCAAACTGAAAGGACAAATCAAACAATGGAGCAGCTGATTCGGACAAACTGCCCCGACTGGAAAAAATGGGAGGATGTGCTGCCCATGTTGGAATCTTCCTACAACAACGCGCCCTCGGCTACAACTAATCACTCCCCGTTTTAGTACCAGTCTCCACCAACGTTGAGAGTCAAGTCCCATGATCGCAGCATTTCGTCGAAGAATTACAGACTGCCCGAGACAAAGCTGTCGAACTTATTCGCAAGGCGAACGCTACTGCCCGACGATATGCGGATTTACATCGACGGGATATTACAATGGCAGCAGGGCAACTAGTCCTTTTGGACACCAAGAATTTACGACTGCCACTA